CCCCATCCTGCTTTGGGGAGAACACACAGGCAAAATAGTCATTTAGCTTCTGTGCCTGTTCCCTCATATCAGTCACTGGATCTCCTTCCTCCTCATTTAGTGGTCCCACCACTTGTCTCCCCTTCCTCTTCCTATTTACATGCTGAAAGAAGCCCTTTTTGTTGCTCTTGATATTCTTGGCAAGTCTCAGCTTGTAATCAGCCTTAGCCTTGCGAAGAATCCTTCTGCAGCGGGCCTCCTCCTCCCGGTATACCCTTTTGTCTATTTCCCCCAGTACCCATTTCCTACGGAGGTTCCTCTTTCGTCTAATCCCTCTAACCACCTCCTTTCGCATCCATGGCGGCACTCTCCTCCTCCTCCGCCTCCACACCTTACTGACTAGAGGTATCATCAAGGCTTGCACCTCCAAAACCTCCCTTTTGAGTGCCATCCACTCCTCCTCAACTCGCTTACCTTCCAGTAACCTATCCCAGGAGCCTTTCCCTAGTCTGGCCTTAAGTTGGCTAAAGTTTACTTAAAACACTCATCACCATAACCAGCCTGAGCCACTAAATCTACCTGGAGGTGGGATGAAGAGTACACCCAGGTTGCACACCTGCTCTTTCACAAAGAAAGTAATCATATCCAGAATAGATTGTACACCAACTTTCTCAACTGGGAGCCACCCAGCCACAGCATCTCTTCTTTCCCAGGAGTCAGATCTAGCTTGTTGGAAATCCAGATCCAGCTGGTCCAGCACCTACACAGCCTCAACTGATTGGGATAATATCAGAAAAGAGAAGTAGGTACCACTTCACCCACCACCTTTATGTAGATATTGAAGAACACAGGAGATAAAATAAAATGTTGTAGGGTCCATAGCTGAAGTGCCATGAAGTAGAGGAGAAATTTGCCAGAGCTACTTTCTGAAAGTGGTCCTTCAAGGTAAGAACAGAACCACTACTTTTTCTTATTTCATTTCTATACTGCCCAATAGCCAAAGCACTTCAGAGAGTTTACAGCCGTCCCTAAATGCCAGACATAATGCAATTAAACAACCATAAAGTTTTTCACACTACAAAATTTAAAAATGACTTAAACATTGACACAATTTAGCAACAGCCTGGGTATATCCATTAAAATCACCTGATATGCATGTGCCCATTGAGCCATTAAATAAACCTTAAATATATTTTAATGCCTCCACATGGAAGGCTGACTTAACCTGGCACTAAAAGGATGCCATATTTGGCATGAGGCAGGCTTCAGTGGAGAGATTCAGTGGATTTCACTTCCAGCCCTGACAAAGGAATCTTAAGAACTGACCTTTTCTTGTAAAAATTTGAGTTCTTTAGTATCTTAAGTTTGGAGCTGCCTTCTGTGTTTCATGAAAAACAGAAAAGTAGTACGTTTTTAAAAATCATGGTTTAGATATGCCATGCATGTGGAGAGTAAGTCCAGAATACATTAATCCTAATGTATTGTCACGGAAGTTCAGAGATGCAACAAATTTAAACTGTTAAAATTATACTCTCTGTAAGTTCATACTTAACCACAATTTGTATTAAACATTTTTAGCTGGAGTTGGCAGAAGCTATGCTTCCCGAATTTTATACTGTATCTTTTGCCAGGAGGGTAGAGAGAATTTTTGATTTCTCTCTCCTGGCATGTAAGATGCACTATGTGATGTGTCATGTGTTATGTCCTAGTACCACATGACCTGACTGATTTTTTAAAAAATGAGCTTAGCCAAATATTGGACCCAATGTTTTCTCTGCTTGCTTTTTGTCTCCTTCTTCTCCTTCTCCTCGTCCTCCTCCTCCTCCCCCTCCTCCTCCTCCTCCTCCTCCTTCTTCTTCTTCTTCTTCTTCTTCTTCTTCTTCTTCATTTTGCGGTGTTGGGGGGCGTTGTTTGTTTTACTACTTTATTGTATTCTTTGACTTTACTAGCAAACCTAATTTTGGGTTAAGTAAACTAATTTTGAAAGGAGTCTAAATATATTTCATCCAATATGATTGATATGGTCTCCTTGTCATGTTATTTGAAAGGGGACTATATTGCTGCCTTCTTAGAATAGTGGAGTGGATGGATACTGAAAACTGGTTGAGTTGTAAGTTAAGAAGATGTATCTTCCATAGTATGGCAAAGTCCTTTTGCACCTCAATCCATAAGGTGATGGATTTAGCCCCAGTGGTAAAAGCAACAAAACTATCTAATTTCATTCTTCTGTGCCCTCCACACCTCTGCCAGGATGCCAGAGAAAGACAGGACTCTCTATTTACTGCAAGGGGGTCACAGCTATCTCCAGAGAAGCCTTCCTGTAGGGATTGGGTCCATCCTTCATGAAAAAGAGCCTTTTAGGGATGTGAGAACAGATTATCATTCAGATGAGGAAGAGGGGTTAAAATCTGCAGTCAGGAAGCTAAAACCAGTAGTTGAAAATCACTCTTCTTTGGACCATGTGGGAAGACAGAGCAAGCTTGCTAATAAGTAGGGGCAGGGATTAGCCATCACCACTCCCAAGAGTGCAGTATCATCTAAAGAGGACAGGCCTGCTGAAAAATATCAGTTGCTCAAAAGAGTTGGCCCTGAAGCAAGAGGATCCACCTCTGAGGCATGTAGTGTTAATTTAAGTTTGAAGGGAGGATGGCTATTCAGTTTGGATTCAGCTTCTTACTAATAAGTGACACTGCCTTAATAGCTACTGTTCTAACTATGCTTGTTGCTTTTGCTATTGACTTCTGCAGTAAACTTCATTTGTTCTTTTAAGCTAGTCTGATTGGCTTGCTTTAAGCTTTTAGTTGCAAAGCCATTGTCTGGGTCTGCCTGGAAGGAAAAGAAAGAATTACAGCCTCAGAATCCCTAAACTTGTGAAGCTATTTGATTTGCCCATCTATCTCAGTATCAGCAGAAGTGATGGGGACAGAATCAGATACTTTCTGGTGATTCCATCTCAGCATTGTAATCACTTGGCGCTCAGTTGAAGCACATCCCTGCATAATCTTTTGATGGGTAGTACTCTTGAAGCTATTCTGAATGGTACTCCTGATGGTATTCTTAGTATTGTAAGCATATTATTAATATATTAGTTCCCCAGCCTTCTTGTAAATAGTTTATCTCAGGCATCTTTCAATATATAACTTTTTAAATAAATGTATTTCATAGAATACTAGAATTGAAAGGGGCCATAGGGTCATCAGGTTGTTGGGAAGGAGTTGGCTATCTCAACTCTTTCCCAACAACATTATTTTCCTGAAAGACAAAAAATACAAAAAAGGTTATTAAAATATGTAGTGTCTTGAATGTAAAGAGAGATCCTCTGAACATTTTCGATCTGTAGTAGCATGTACATGTTGTGTTTAGTTTATCTTGTCTGTGTATAATCATTTACATTTAGATTGTTACCCTTGTAGAGTGAAGAAAGCACAGTATGGTGCTTTCATGTGCCTTCATTTGTTTTTTGTAGCTACAGCTCGCACACTTTGCCCTAAAAATCTCTCTCCTGCTTTGCCAGGAAATAGTCTGAATATGTGTTCAATTGCATTTTCATCAAAAGCAGTACTGTTACGTATGGTGGCAGTGGGGCTAAAGTTGCCTAGAAGAATCTCCAAATTAGATGAAAAATGAAGCATGCAGTTGTCTAAGTTGGTATCCTCTCCTCATGTTTTGACACAATAAGACATAACCAAGAAAAGTTAGCAAGTTTATTTTATATTTGGTTTTCTGACTTGGGAAGAAGGGTTTGAGGGGAACAAAGCTAATATAAATTCTTACTCTGTCCCTGTTTTGACAATTAAAGGGGTGTGTGCATGCAAAGGAATAAAAGGGAATACAACATCAGCAAGTTAATCTGTATAAGCTGCACAGAGTCGATTCTATGACTGAAGTAGAAGCCTCACTGAATAAAAGCTAATACTATGCTCTTGTATTTTTCCCCCAAAAGATTCACAGTTGGAGAGTGAGGTTTCTCCTGAAAAACGACCACGATTACTGGAGGACAGTCAGGACAGGCCTGAAGAAATCAGCCGTTCCAAACAGAAGAGCAGACGCAGGTGTTTCCAGTGCCAAACAAAACTGGAACTGGTACAACAGGAACTGGGATCGTGTCGCTGTGGTAAGGACTAGCAGCCAGTTAGGAGAATAAGCTTTCCTTATTCTCTAATTTTGAGAATAAGTGTTTTATTAATGAAGTATTATTAATTTCGTCATGCATATATCTGTGGAAAATCTGGGTCATGTCATTGTGATGCAGGTTTCACTGGTGAAGAAAACATAAAATGAAATCTGTGTAATAATTTAAAGTAGTTGCCACCTGACAGAGCCCTTCACAAGTATACATAAGCATTGTTTTCTTAGGTAAAGAAGTAGGTTATAAAGGTAAGTTATGCATTGAAGTAAAGATATATCACACAGTTGAAGTGGATTTATTTAGAATTAGTTCTGTGTTTCTGCCCTTTTCCCATGTGTCTTAGTATAAATGGGATATGCCTATCCCACTGCCACCTTACACATGGAAGAGTGCCGCTGCATAGACGTGTCTTCCCTAAGGTTTCTCTGTTCTCTGTGCTTTGTATGAGGGATCTCTGTATAAGACCTTGAGACATCATGTGTAAATGATTCTTTGTGGAAATGGAGACAATCAAGCATGGCGAGTCATCATGAATATAAGCCCATGGATAATCCAAAATACAGCAGCAAAGAGAAATATGCACAACTTTTTTTTTCAGTAGCCCTATTTGCACTACATCAGTATGTCATTATGCTATGCTACAGCACCAGATTTATTTAACTATATTCAGAGACCATTTGTGTACCCCCCCAATGCTATTATTCCTGTATTGCATGCAGTTTGTGTGGCTAGTGCTGCTTTTGGATAATGTGTCTCCTAGATGTATTATTTCAGAGGCTTAAAAATTAAAAGTAGACAGCCTGTACAGAAGTAGCTGAGAGATTTTCACATGTCTAGCTACACGATCAGAAAAAAGCATTGCAGCATAATATTTAGCACATACAGCCTTCTGATAGAAACATTCTTCTTAGGCTTGCTGAGTAAAATACTGGCTAAGGTAATGAAAACTGCTGCCTTTATGCTGGAGTATATTTTTTGCCAAGCATGATCGGTGAACTAGACACTATTTTATGGTTACTTCTGTCACAGTTTGAGTGAAGGAGCTTGCTAATGCCTTTCTGAAATATATATCCACAGACACAAGTTTGTCTTTATATACGAAAGGAGAATAGGGAGTATAAAATGTGATAGTGCCTAACCAAACTTAAACCTTCAGAGTCCAAGATTTTAATTGAACTTTATTTGTTTTTAGGAAAGTTTATTACATTGGAAACAATATGTTGGTCTTTTTATTTTACTTGTAAGTACCGGGTTTGATCCAGATTTGTACCCAGCAGAACTTCACTACCACTGGAAGGAAGCCATTTTCTCTTTCCTCGTTCCCATTTCTCAGCCACCTGCTGTTCCAGAAGAGAGGAGAATGGAGGGAATTGTTAACTTACCCTCTTTCGCCAGCAGGAAATCTATACTGAATCTCCGTATCTTTTGCAAACAGAAAGATCCTTTTCATTTCCAGAGGAACAGATCTGAATTCACCCCTAGAGAGTATATAGATAGCATATACAAATACTGAATGTCGGTATTCTTCCCCTCTTCCAACATGTACTCGTGTGCATATAACCATTTAAGTACTAAAGCATGGCTTCTGTTTAGCAAGAGCCATTAGATGCCCCCAAAATTATATCTAATGTAAAAGTTCCCTCTTCTGCTTTGTAATGATACTTTCAAACCAAGATATTTATAGGTTTATATATTAAATCCAGCATAGTTTCTTCTTTCTGCTTCTGGCTAGGTAATGTTGCCCTTCAAGATGTTTATGGAGGTATGTAATATAATTCCTGGATATTTTTATTCTGATTTTGAAGAACTTGATTTTAAAACTGGCATTTGCAGATAAGTCCACTTGAAAGCAACTAGGGGAATGTAAAAAGACACAAGAACCCCTACCCTGCTTTGTGGATGGAATGTACACTTTATTCAAAGGTTGAGTTCTTTAAGAGCCCATTGGAGCTTCAAACTGAATGTTGGTTGATGCATACAGAAATTAGCATAGAAGATGCTATTATGCAACTTGATCATCTTGTTAGCTACAAGATATTCAGTAAACATATTTCCTGGTCTTCAGTACAGTGATATTTTAACAACACAGTACTTTATAAATATCTGTTTTTGGAAGATTCACAGTGGGAAAGCTTAATAAATAGGGATTTTGAAAGGCTTCATTGAAGCTGAATAGGATGATGCAAAGTTACAAAGTTCTGAGTCAAGCATTACAGGGGCCACCACTTATCAGGCCTGTGCTTACACTGAAACAATCTTTTTAACATTTTAAAATATGAAATGTTAAGTTCCTGAAATAATATATACCACATTAATGACCTAATAATTGTGATTATTCTGAGATAGCATGGATTGAATAGCTTTTGGACTTATAAATTTTTCCATGGTAGCCCTTGGTGCTGAACACACTGGCCATTACCAGCCTATTTGAGCTAGTAAATATGAATATGGCCCCAAGTAGGTGCAAATAAATACATTGTGTATTATCTAAAGGTGAGCATGAGCAAGTGGGCCTCATCAGTGATCTGTTCTCCAGGTGGCCAGTCCCACCAGTTCCATTACACCAGTAAAGCATATCATTTACACATTTCTAGAACAGGGCAGGTCAACAGAGGTCCAGTGTGGACAGTTGCTATTGCATACTGACTGCTGTGTCATTTGAGGATTATTTCTGTACCCTTTCACACATGTATTTAGAAATGAATTCCGTTTTTATTCTGTATTGGCATCTCCCTGTGAAAATATATAGTCGGCAAGCCTGTTCTTACTTCCAGACATTTCTACAGAAAACTGTAGACAATTTTAAAATTAAAATATTTTGGTCTGTTTGCTTTCAAATTAGTATTCTCCAGTTCTACTGCATGAGATGCTCAAATGTAAAACCACACTACATGAACATGTGTCACACCTTATCGGGATGGCACATACGCTCACAACAGAAGAATGCTATAGTACATGCTACAGGCAGCCCTTCAGGGAGGATTCTACAGAACCTACAGGGTCTCCTGGTATTTAAACAGCATCTGATCCCCAGTATTTCTGCTAAGAAGCAAGATCATATGGGGAGCATATGGCCCATTTCTTTGCAGAAACAGCAGTTGTTCTACTGGGAAACAAGGCACATGGGGAGGTACTGGGAACCATGCTGAATAGTCACTTCCAGTGGCAAGGGAGGGGTGTGATTCACAGTGGGTTCCAGGAGGGCTAGTTCAGCTCTGAACCCACCAAAGTTGTCCACCCCACTTTAAATCTATAAGAAAACAAGGATATTTGCATTCTGCCAATAGAACTGTAGTCACCCATGGCATTCTTTCTATAGCAAATAATAAAGAGCCCCTAGTTGTGCATGTGGATTCCATTTGCTGAATCATATTGATAATCCTGTGTCTCTGAAAAAAATCACTCCTTCCACCTAACTGCTTCATTGTTGCATATTGGCTATGAAAAGTATATTGTCTTTGGAAAGGTTCATGTTACCTACAGGACAATGATGTAAGCTGCCTTGAGCCCTTTGTAGGAAAAAGGCAGGATATAAATCGAAAAATAAATAAATAAATAAATAAATAAATAAATAAATAAATAAAATATAAGTTGATCCTATAGGAAAAAATGAACAACAAATCAGTAGCACTGACTTTTTCTATCGACTGATTACAAATTTTTGATACCTTTCCAGCTGCAAATAAAACACAGATGACTATATACATGTCTGAATAAAATTACTATGAAACAACTCATTTAGTATTTTAAATATCTATTCTTATGGTTTACTATTAATATTTTGCAGCTTCGTCTGCTCCAGGAAGCAAAATTATCTGCAGAACAAAAGCACAACATGAGTGTTTTTTTAAAAGTATTAACACTAGAAATTGCTAGAATACAGGTCATTTTGACCTTGTTCCTCAATTTTAAAAGCAGCACAGAAGCACCTCACGCCAGATCTCCTGAGAAATTGCCTGGTTTGATACTACAAATCTTAAAAAACAGTTCAATCTTTCTCACACAGACTCTCTTCATACGTGTGTTTGTGTGTGTTGCTTATGAATTTTGAAGGATAAGTCACATTTGAGAATTATCATTGTGGAGTTCAGATATGCAACATCTGTTTTACTGGAGAGTGAACCAGCCAAATTGTAGTACCAGCCAAAGAGAAGGTGGCATTTTTCTTCTTTGGTATACTACTCAGTTGCTGTAGAACACATTTTCTTTATCTTCTGTGAGTGCAGGTTCATTTTACAGCTAGGAGACAGGAAGGCAGTTTATTCATATGAATACTGATTAGCACAACTTTAATGGAGAATAGACTTGGATTTCTGCATAATTCTGTAGTGTTGAACCATCATCCTTTCAGCAGACTTTAAAATTTAAATTGGCCAAAAGGAAGCAAGGAAAGAGAGAGATCTAATAAAGGATTCCTGTGCAAAAAATATATTGCCTTTTTAAAATGTGCAGTTTTAAATTTGGAGGGTCTTAATGTTGGTTTCCCTCAGTTTGTTAAAACATTTTAGTTTCGCGTAATTACAGAATGGGCAAAACATTGGACTTTTTTTTGGAATATTTTAATCTCAGAGTCTCTCCCTGGTTTTGTTTTTGCATCTGTATGTAATGAAAGAAATTATGCTCATATCCGCTTTCCCATTGCATTTTAATTTAAGATTTTGTGTTGTTGATTTTTATTAAAGAGTAGTTTCCACAAATAACTGTTATTTCCCTGTCAGCATAATGAGGCAGTAGGAAATAATTACTTCAGTATATGTGTCTACCTTTTCTTATTTTATATTTTGTTTTAAATTCTGTCTTTGTCTCAGTTATTATATAAAGTTGACAATATAATATTCTGTTCTGTAAGCCTACCAATGCAAAGTCATTTGTATTATTGTCAACAGTTTATGAATGGTCAATGTTTTTACATAATTTAAGGTTTTTAGTTTCTTTTCCCTGTGACTTTCATTCTTATTCTCCTACACTACAACTTTGTGTTGCCA